CCACTGTACACAGACGAAAGAATAAGAATAAAAAATGCAAGTAATATTTTTATATTGTTCTGCAAATGATTTTGACCTTGGGGATCTTCCAGGATAAGTCTCAGGAACCCCAAGTTTCCCTGGACCATATTTTGAAGCCATTGCTTTGGGGCTTTAGGGCTTGTTCCTCCCAGGAATGGACCCCCGGTGAGGAGGGCTGCAATAGTACGCTTGTATATCGTATTTTTTCCACTACTAACTCCATACCAAAATGATATATCATATTGATGGTCAAAATAAAATTGGAATGCTTTAGGTTTACATCATTCATGATGTTTTGTGTAATTTCTAATTTAGAATGACCTCAACAAAGTAACATCTAGTGATTAGCTTTCTAGATCTGGCATTATTTCTCTGACCTATTTCAGAAGGGTTAGGTTTTCCAGTTGTATTGCTGGAATGAAATTGGTAGAGCTTGACTAGCAAAATTAATCCATTCTGTTTCTGAGTCTTCACTGAGAAGGTTTAGGCTGAAAATAATTCCAGTATTCCAGCCTGTAACAGGATGCCTCAACTTTTTTGAAGCCTCTCCTTGAAATCTTACTATGTACGATATTCAGAAAAGTGGAAAAAGTTACAGGACAATTTCCTCCTCTATTTTCCCTCTGAGAAAAAGAAAACACATTGGAAACACGCTACCTCATTTATGAGGATACCAGGGTTCTCCAGCAGTCAGTCCTGACATGATTCCGCTGCATAAGCCTAAGACATTTTTGATTCTCCATATGTTGTGGACAAGTGTCAAACATTCTAGCCTGCATGGAACACCACAGAGAGCGCTGTCTGGGGAGAGCATGTTGACAAGACTTAGAAAAACAGGGTGAGAATAAACGGTGTTGTCCATAGACCCAGGCAGGTCTTGTGCCAGGTTATTGAGAGCTGCCACATTAAACTATCATTTGAAATTTAAATTCCTTGTAACAACACCAGGAAAATATGGGTCAGAGAGCTGCTAATGGAGACTTTAGGGAAGGGACTATCACTAAATCATCTTGATGACTTAGAAGTGACTGAAAAAAACATTAGGAGAATGGGCAGTTAAAAAGCTAGCAGAAAAAAAAAGGCAAAACATTTTTAAGAGTCAACACATTGAAGTACTGATGGGGCCAAGCAGTCATTATCTGTATTTTTATCTCCAAGTATGGTTATTACATTTGGGCTTTATACCCCATAGGCTATTGTTGTTTCCTCTCTCCATCCCTTATCACCAGCCTCTCAGGAGTGCAGTCTAAACCGTTGCCTCATCATTCATTTCCCCCCAGCCCTTGCTGTTTGACTAAAACTACTTCCTCAGATCTCTCCAACGATGCAACGGCATTTCTCAATCATCTACTGCTCTTACAGGGAGGTGTGTGTGTGTGTGTGTGTGTGTGTGTGTGTGTGTGTGTGTTCATTTATTTGAGCATGAGGTTATATGGGTTCATATTCCTTACTACCAATTTGAGAGACGAAGTGGATTCATCTCTAGCTAAAAAACCAGGTAGGAAGAGGGTGAGGGTGTGTGGAGCAGGAGTCCCAAGCCCCAGGTGGAGTTTCAGAACCTGCCACTAAGAGATGAGTGGATTTAAAGTCTGATGAAGGCAAAAATGGCCAAATCTCTGATTAAGTCAGAAGTCTAAGAAATCAGATTTTGTCTTCTCCCCTTGTTATCCACTTGGTATCTAGAATGTTCTCCTCATATTCTCACAGGAAGGCTAATCTAAATAGGCATTGCTTTTTAGCCTAGCCATGGGCTGGGATTGTCCTTACAAACTCAGCAGGGTGTGGGCAGAGCTGGTGCGAGCATGTCCACGGCTGGTCCAAGAGATTCTCTCCTGGGATGTTGCCATAGAAAATCCTGGACAGTGTGTGTAAGATTGAACCCTGCCAGCAAGCTAATTAAGTGAGGTTTTTTAGTTTCAAATTTAGCAGCAAAAGTGGGTGGCTGATTTCCTGACTCACCTCTTCACATCATCTGTGGTTCCAGCAAACACGCCCTCTCATAGGACACATTCCTGGCTTCATTTCGAAGCTATTCCATGTCTTCACAGGGTAGATAGGAATGTGCAAAGTAATAGCTTTCTTTTTGTGTGGGATAATGTTTATGAAGTGGCGTTCAGTTCTTTGTGCCAAAGTAATTGTGGGAATGTTAGAACAGTTTTCAGCAAAACTGAATATTCAATTAAAAGCCTTTCCTTCCAACGGCCCAAAGCTCTCACCGGAAAGAAACAGAGTATACATCCCAGCACAGAATGGACTCCATAACAGGGAGGTGGGCAAAGAAACCAGGCCCTTACACCCCTATCTGTGAGCCTAGGAAACCTCTCTGGGAGTGCAGATGAGCTCTAAGCCATCTTTAGAGCTTGAAAATACAAATAAGCAACTACAAAGACTAAAGTCAACAACAGAGCTGCCATGATAGAATTCTCTAGGTTAAGGATAACTTTAGTTTTATTCCACAAGATCCTGGCAAAAGGAAAATCAGGTTAATTGACTGCCCCCTGCCCCACACCACCCAACTGAAGCTGCTGTGTTTTGATTTGATGCAAGGTCTTGACTCTCCAAAAACGAGAAAGAGATTACTTAGCAGTGGTCATTTCTACCCCTCCCACTACCTGCAAAGGCTAAGAGCTGTAACAAATGTGAACAACAACGCATCAGTAGAAAGCCCATCTCTGCCATTTTGCCTGGCATGAGTAAGGACCTATTCAGTGAGAACAACGAAATTGATTCTTTGCCTAATAAAATGGGTCTGGCTAATTGTCATGCCAATTCATGACATTTTATTTTCATTGTCTCTGCTACCCCAAATCTACTTGTTGAGCTTAGTGTTCCTTCTTCTAGGATAATTTTTAGTAAATAAAATATACTTACAGGAATTCAGGATGAGTATGGTTTCCAGCCAACTTGTTCATACTTTGGATCAAGTTTGGCATGTATTTTTCATGCTTTTTTTTTTCTCCACTCACCCCTTAGTTGTAAGTGTCCCTTAAGGATCTCTCAGGAACTCTCTTCTCTTTCCATATACTTTGCCCAGGTAACCTCAGCCGCTCTTGTAGCTTTGTGTTCCATTTATATGTTTATAACATCCAAATTCTTTCTTCTGCCTTAACTCTCTATAGTTCCAGGCTTTTACTTTTGGCATTTCTTAATGAAATTTACACTTCAAATTCCACCTGGCTATTTAAGTCAGTTTATCCAAAACCAAACTTAACTAGATTGTCCTATCTACAAACTAATTTCTCTTATACAGCCCTGTCTACCAATTGCCCAGGATTGAAACCTAGTGTCACTCTTTGCTGTCTCTTAAGCACTAAGATCCACAAATTTTCCATCCTAAATATCTTGAGGCTACTATGTCCTCTACTTTACCCTACTTGACATTACTTTCTGTTCATTCACGCACTAAAAGCTTATTATATTCTAGCACTGTGCTAAGGGCAAGTGACACACAGAGAGGATGAGAACCAACAAATAAGTCTAAAACAAAGCATTGTGTCATTGACCTATCAGAAGTCAGGTTGTTGGATGTGCAGGATTTGGGGAGCCTGAATTGAGGACTCTTGCTGTCTTGGTTCAACTTATCTCTTACCAAGACATTTGGGGAAGCCTCCAGCCACACAGCCATCCTGCTCTCGGCCCTGCTGCCTGAGCTTTATTTTCAAAGTTCAAATCGGATAGTGTCACTCTTCTGACTGAAATTCCCTTCCATGGCTCCCCAAAGCAACAGGACATGCAACAAACTTCTCAACCCCACTTACAAAACTTTCAAACACAACATTTCCCCCTATAACATCCTTTTATACAATGTAGTTATTAACTTCTCAGTCCATGAAATAGGAAAGAAAAGAACAGGAATTAAGATGCCCACTCTGCCTTAAAAATTTGCCATCAGTATCATTTCCAACCACCCTCCTCCCTCTTTGGCAATCAACCCAATGGACCATTTTCCTAACGATTGCTGGTCACACTTTGCATAACTGTTTCAAATATCAAGATCCTGAATACTTTTGGTGAACACAGGTAATCAGTGTATGATTATTTACTGTCATGATGTATGCCCAGATGCTCCACACAAAGTATTGGCATATCGTAGCCATGCAGCAGACCACCGGAAACCAGTCTTAGGTCTTCTTCTTAAGAACATTGAGTCCATCTTTACAGATGAGTGTGGTCTCAGGAGAGTGAAAGCCAGGTGCCAACTACCTCTCCCTTCACAGGACTAGGCCACTGCAAAAACATTCATTTATTCATTCGTTCATTCGTTCATTCATTCACTTAGTCATTCATGCATCAAATACTTTACTGAACATTTGTCATGTACCCTGTGTTGCAAAAATGTACCCGATGACCAGGGAACTCACAATCTCTTCTGTCCCGGGACTGGATCCAATGATCCAAATGCTGGAATCAAAAAGGGCTGAGCCACACTTTGCAAAACTGTTTCAAATATCATGACCTCCTTGGTGAGGGATAAGGTCTAGGAAAATACTTGAGATGCTTCTAAAGATTGAATAAAGTTCTTTTTGTAGCGAGAAGTCTGTGTGTGTGTGTGTGTGTGTGTGTGTGTGTGTAGGAATGGGGAGAATGGTAGCACATGATGAGAAAGAAATTGCTGCCCTGGTAAAGAAAACCAAAACACAAAGGTAGTTTAAAAATGACACAATTTGTTTGGGAAATGATGGTAAGTTCAGTGTGGCTCGGGGGAGGCGGCAAAGGACAGGCAGAGGGTGCAGATTACAGGAGACGTGTACTAAGGAGCTCACACTTTCTTTGTAAGTCAGGGACCCAGAGAAATCTCTAAACAGGGAGGTCATCAATCAGATTTTCTTTTTTTTTTTTTTTGAATAAAGGTCCTGTGTGGGTATAGAGGATGGATTTGAGATGAGTATGTAATCTAACGCCATTTAGAGGTGAGCACAGCCCAGGACAGGTGCACAGCTGTGTCCGAGCTAACTCCACATTCTGTGTTTTTTTCCTAGTGACTGTGCTGGCCATCTTCCACGAGCTGCACGTTGACCCCGACCTGTACACACTCTTATTTGGGGAGAGTGTGCTGAACGATGCAGTGGCCATAGTCCTTACATAGTAAGTACCAGAATTTGATTGATTTTCCTTTGACCCTATAAAGTACACTTCTACTTGGTGATAATTCCTAGTGGCTTTAATAGTATCTTTTGTCTTATGTCCTAGAGATACAAGCAATTACTGGTTTTTAAGGAATTGTTACCACAGAAAATCTCCAAGAGTGGGTACAATTCATTAGGCAGCTAATTTCTGAAACTATTAATGGGTTTCATGTTTCCAGCCTATTATAAGATACTACCCAGAGGGTAACATTGATTTATTTTTTTCTAGGTGCATATATTTAGCTGATTCACTTAGGGTTCCTAAAATGCACATAAGTGAGCTTTCTTCATTTCAAATCAATATCATTTCATTTTTTCCTTATACAAGTCATTTTCTAGATAATAGAGTAATAGAAACCATTGTATTTATAGTAAGTTTGGCAAACTGGAAATAGAACTTGAGAGTCAGAATACTGTTTTCATTTCTCAGTACAAATGCAATGCGTTACAGGAACACACACATCTTTAAATCATCACTTGACAAGTGAAACTGATGGAATTTCAGCTAAGAGCTAATGCAATTTTCCCTTCATCCTGGAAGAATTTTCTTTGCCATGAGAACTAGTGCTCTTTCCTCACTTGCTCTTCAAACACTCACCACTTATATTTGATAAGTGCCACTTCGGTGGCTCTCACTATGTCAGAGGCCTCCTTTGGGTTTTAGATTAAGACCAACATTTTGGGCAACTGTCAAATACCTTAAAGGAAAGTATTGGGTCCTCGGGAAAGTCATGATGTATTTTCCTATGTTTTCCAATGCAAAAATGCATCATGACTTTCCGAAGACCCAATAGCTCTCTGATAATTGAATGTGACAACAAGATTCAATTCAGGGTGTTAATTACTTCAAATGCATTTGAGAATGTACTGTGAAGTAACAAAGGCTTTTCAAAAGTCAGCTCTCACAGTGGGGCATTGGAAACAAGGGAGCAGCGCTACTCTTTTTTCTGCCACCTGATATTTCTTAAGGCGGCACCCCCAAAGTTGCCACTGAATTCACTTGAACACTTTCAAGCGAGAGTCTCCAAATAAACTTATATTTCACCTGGCCACCGACAAGTGCCTATCCTGCATGACAGGAAAATATCAGCAAGAGCAAATTAAGAGCAGCAGCCATGGCAGATTCACAAATGCTAAAGGATGCTTTTAAAGAAACCCCACGAACAGTTAATTAGGATGTCAGGAATCCCTGTCCAAGAAATACAAATATTAAAGGAACATTTGGAGTAAAAAATTTTTTTAATCTTTCAAGTCCTTCACTTTCACTTCCTGAGCTGCCAAGGTGTAAGGGGCGAAGAAGAGCAAAACCCCTGAAGCAAAAGTGGGTTGGGAGAGCATCACGCAGCTACACCGGAGGGACAGTTGGCCTTTCCACTTACGGCACTTCTGTTCTCAGTAGTTTTCTGTTAACATTGCAGACTCTAAGGATAGATGTTGATGCTGTTGGAGCACAAGCCTGGGGGCCCTTTAAAACAGTCTATTTAGTATCACCTCAGGTCCATACGGAGGTATTGCTGGAAGTGCCTTTTCTACTCCACTACTCATGCGAGATCTCTTCCTTCCTAAGCAGGCGACACTTACCATATTAGCCAAAAATCTTGTGCTCCCCAGCTTTGGCAATTCAGGGATTGTGTAGAAGAATCCTAAAGAAGCCCATCTTTGAAACAAAAATCTTAAATTAGGAATACTTGACATGCACGAAAACATCTGCACATTTGAATCTGTGGGCCTTTTCTTCCACTAGTGCGTTTGGACCCCAACAGAACCTCCCTCCCATGAGTGGGTGAACCTGTGCTGTGCGGGGCCCGGACTGTGTGCCCTGGAGCTGGCCGGTGCTGACCCCGTCTTCCACTTAGTGCAGCGTCCCACGTGCGGCGTCCCACGTGCCGCGGTCTCCCCTTTTCTTGCTTGCTCACTTGCTTCTTAAACTTAGTTTACAGAACATTTGAGAATCTCTTTTCATACATCTACTTACATATACATATTTCCTCTCCTTTTAGTGCCCCATCCTGACACTCTCTTGCATCTATTTTTTAGTTCCCTTGGGAAAACCCTATTTAAAAAGCATTCACATGTTTTTCAGGAGTTTCAGACTACAAGTTCAAATATTTGTCTCTCCTTTTCTCTTCCTTCACACTAAACCACCCATCGCACCCTGACACAAGTCTGGCTGGTCCCTTCATGCTTTTGCACATACAGTTCATTCCTACCAGCTTCTGTTGCGGTCTTATCAAGCCTTCCCGGGACCACTTTCCCTGTCTCCTCCCTCAGGCTCGCTAGCTAACGTGCTGAACCCCTACGTCATCATGCACTGTACCTCCATCAATTTCTTTCCAGCACAGCAGCGCGATCTCAGGTTTACATGTGTATTTGCCTTTTTAGGTAGTAACTTTATGAAGAGAGAGTCTATTAAATGCATATTAAAAGAACAAATGAAAACCTCTTTTGTGGTTTTCCTTTTTAGTTCCATGTCTGAGGGTTTTAAACTTTTTTTTCTATTTATAAGATTGGGGATAGTGATAGAGCTCTTCTTGTACCATGGAAAAGAAAAGCTGTGCATTTTAGTATGAAATCAAGTACAATAATGAACCCCAATTGTCTGCCACTATGGCCCATGGCAATACCTCCAGAGCCCTTTGGGAATGGCCACACACTTTCATTTACCTTCCCACCTTTCACCATCAAACCTCCTTGTTTAAAAATCATCCGCTTCACTTTGAAGATTTTTAAAAATTTAAATGGTAGTATGCTTTGATTTTCAGACAACTATTTATAATTGAATTCGATAGCCACAACTCTTGTACACAGTAGCAGGTGGTGGGTGGTGTCCCTATGGCTTAAAATGATCCAGAATTATTCATCTTAAAATGAAAATAACTTTATTGAACATAAAAGTTTTGAAATTAGATTGTCTCTGACCCACACTGTTATTTCAAGTATATAGAGAATGTCATTTGCAAACATATATGCATATTAGTCATGAATGAATGACTACCACATGATGAATTTGCATTTCTAAAGATTGTTTAATAAGCTATAAAGAAAAGCAAAAGATACACTAAAGAAGCCTTTAAACATGTGTAGTTTTGAATCCTGAACGAAGACATTACTTTCAGAGGCAGTATGGTAGAGTAGAAAGAGCCCTAGATTTAAGTCAAAAGAGCTGGTGTCAGGATTGCCATGAGTTAATTAACTGCAATTATTACAGTGGACAGGAAACCAACCTAAACTGGCTAAACAAAAAGGGAATCCGTGCTGGCTGATGTAACTGAACAGTAGGAATAGAAATGGCTCGGGAAAGGATCCAGTGAAATGAGCAGGACTCTTTCTTTCCTTACTCAGCTTTTTCAGTTAGCTCCCTCGCCTGGTCACACACAAGATGGCCACCATCACTTCCCAGGGTTGTGTCATTCTTCAGGAGAATAGTGCAAGAATCTCTATCCCACTATTCCCAGCCCAAATCTCAATACAACTTATAGATTCTGATGCCATTCCAGACCCACTTAGAACTAATTAATCACTGTGGACAGGGAAATGCACTGCACAGGTCTAAGTTGCATGCTTCATAACTTCAAAGGTGTAATCAGTGTCACTTGGAAGCACATGAACTAAAACGGGGAGGACAGTGGGATTATTGCTTAGAGTAACAATGGCACAAAAAAGGAAAAGTGGATGGGTGCTGAACAGAAACAAAACCTAAAAGACCACCACAGTCACTTCCTTTAGTCATTAACTCTCCATGCTTATTTTCTTATCTGTAAAATGGAAGAAGTGTTGTTCTATATACATTACAAAATTATTCAGAGCAATAATTAAGTAATATAGATGAAAAGGTCCTATAATCTATATAATCTATGCTACATAAATATATATGCTTATTATAATTCATATAATCTTTTATATCGATAACTTTTATTCTACTTACACAGATCTCTCTAGTTTCATTAAAATGGCAAAGGATAGATCTGCCTCTAGTGAAACATTCCTCCATAAATATGGCATTTTATGATCAAAGGAATATTGAGATTAACTATTTTTACATGTGAGTTCTCCATTAGAAATGAACCACTTAGTTAAGGCACACTGTCAAACATTGATAAATCAAGAAATAGAGGTTGAAGTTTATTACCTAAAGTTATAAAGTTACACACAACCAAATTGTTATTTCTCATCCAAGTTAAGTAGAAGAAGGGAGAAGGAAAGGAAAGGATAAGTTAACTAAAATATCATGTCTCTCATAGTAAGAAATCAGTGTCAACTGTGTGGAGTTGGTAAATCAAGAAATAGAGGTTCATGCATGCTAGTTAGAGTCACGGGGCGACCATTAGAAGAAATGAAAACTTAAATGGTTAAAAGGAGATACTTTTCTATGTAGGACCATCGTTTATGGAAAAGGAAAAAAAGATAATTTAACATTTTATTTGATATCCTTCTTTACTGTATGGATGTTTGTATATGTTTGAGTTATATTTATTTAAAACATTCTTATTCAGGTGACCAAGATAGCCAAAGTAGAAACTATAAAAGAAAAGCCAATTTATTTAATAGCAGTAGAGTCAAGCAGTCCTAGCAAGCAAAAACTACCACAAGTAAAACTAAATGATTAAGTATAAACCAGAAAAGCAGTTTCAACACACATGTTGATAGGTTCATTGTCTTTATAATATACATGATGAGTCATTAACCTCCTTAATATACCAAATGTACTAGCTATGTTACCTTAGGTAAGTTGCTCAACCTCTCTGTGCTTCAGGTGCCCCATTTATAAAATGAGGATGGTAAATAACACTTACCTCATTGGTGGGTTTAAACATAAAACAACTATTATAGAATAGGGCCTGGCTCATAACACTCAATAAATGTTAGATATTAGCTGCTGATATTACTCCTATTATCAAAAACCAATAAGAAAAAAGTAAGCATAATAGAAAATGAGCAAAGGCTCTAAGTATGTAATGA